CCTGGCCCTGCGACCCCGACGTGGGCGTCCGCGGCTCGGGCCGCGCCAGCCGGTCCTCCGAGAGCCGGGCCAGTTCCGCCTCCACGTCGGGCTCCGGCGCCTCCAGAAGCGATCGGAAGTGGCCGCACTCCTCCGGGGTCAGCAGCTCCGCCAGGCGGATCGCTGCGTGAGGGCCCATGGCGTCCCGGGCCTCCGCCGGCCCCAGCGCCCAGCCGCAGAGCGCCAGGAGCACAGCCTGCACCGCCATCGTCAAGACGGGATTGTGGGGGCGGGGCGGGAAACGTTCGGGAACGCTGGCGCGGGCGGGGCTCCAACCCGCGAGGACGGACGCGCCTTAACGCCCAGGGACTGCGGGTCACCTGGTACCCAGAGCACGGGGAGGGGTCTCCGGCTCCTAGGACTAGTTGGAGGAGAGACCCACAGATGGCAGTAAGCAGAGTGCGAGGATTTGGGACACTCCGCGGTGAAGTGGGACTCTGGATCCCAGACGCCTAGAATTCTGGGCCCTCATTTTGAAGTGTCTGGTGGAGGCTGCCTATCTGTCCCATTCATTCCTCAAAGTTAGAAAACCTGTATAGGAAATTCATTTGTCACCTCCACCAGAAGCCCTGGATACCTTGCTCCACACTGCCCAATACCCACCCCGGTTCTAAATTCTCTTGTCTGAGAGCGACTTGCCCTTTCCCAGTCTCACACCTGCGCTAGCGCAAACCTTCATGCCCTCTCCTTTGGATGAGGTGAGCAGCTCCGTGGGTCCCCCATCTCCGCACATACTGGGGCCCCGCCTACCTGTTTCATCTGCCGCAAGCAGTCTTGACTCGCTCTCTCTGTTCCGGACCTGCACTCGTGCTGCCTGGTGACTTGTGGAAACCTTCCCCAACCTGCCACACTCTTTAGTGAGGCTAAAGTACCCTCCTCTTCTACACCCACCTATCCCCCCACACTATAGCTCCACATTTTTTGAGACAAAGTCTCACTGTGGAGTCCAGGTTGGCCTCAAACTCACAGCGATGGCTCCTGGCTTAGCCTCCCAGAGCGCTGGGATTACAGGCGTGCGCCACCACACCCAGCAACAACTCTACCTTTCTACTGTCTCCTCCACTAGATTGTGAGATTCACTGTCCCCACAGACTAGTGTCTAATAGGTGTGAAGTAAAGACTTGTGGAATCAACTTGTGAATTCTCGACATGCAAATCCATCCTAAGGCTACCTCCCCCGTTATCACCCACCCACACATACACAGGGGCTTCATTGCAGAGCCCCAGCTCTTACCAGGAAATCTGTGCGGTCCAGGATGACTTCAACCTTACCCCGCCCCACACTCTCCTGTGCCGACTTTATGCTCTTGTAACAAATCATACTGCTGGTGTCCCAGTCTCCATACCTGGCCAAGCCACACCTCGCCTTACTTATGGAGGAGGTGGTCCCCGACACACCACCGCGGGTCCGAATCTTTTCTGGGCATTCTTGAGATAACCTGCACATCCTCCACTGGGGCACTGATCTGAACATTAGAGGGTTTATTCTGTACTTTTTCAGTGTCTTCTGTGTACCAGATAATTGTATCAGATGTGAATATAAAGATTGATATGGTTTTCCCCGGCCCCAGCAACCTTATCCAGTTGTATTTTTAAATAATGTTTTTAAGTTTTCACATCTGGACTGTGGACTCTTTAAGAACAGTGGCTGTGCCTGACCATGTCCTTGTCCTCAGTGTCACCCATAGTCCACACACTGGTTTGAGGCCAACCTGGACTCCATAGTGAGACTTTGTCTCAAAAAAATGTGGAGCTACTTTTTGAGTAGGTGGGTGTAGAAGAGGAGGGTACTTTTGCCACACTAAAGTGTGGCAGTTTGGGGAGGGTTTCCCACAAGTCACCAGTAAATGCAAGATAAAGTAGGGGAAGAGGCGAGGACCTGCACAGGCCAGGAGGGCTGGGGGCCCTAAGCAGGAAGCGTAGGCACATTACTTCTCTTGAGCTTCTGTGCATTTTTACAGTTCTGCTTAGAGCATTCAAGGTCCTCAGGAAACTGTGGGCCAAAACCACTCAAAAGCATGAAGAGTTTTTCCAGTGTTTCTAGTTTTTGGTTTTTTGTCTTTAGTCCCCGTTTATGATGTTATCAAAGGTCATAAGAGCAGTGACAGATAGTGGGAAGGTGGACAGTCTCATGTGACCTAAAATACTGGAACTGAGTTATCCCCATTCCCTGCCCTCTGCCCACTTTCCCTCCCCAGAAGACCAAGGGCTGCATCCCTACCATCATTCCAGCAGGACTACTGTCCAGGTTCTGGATGACTCTCCTCCTAGCCAGCACCCCCTCCGCCTCCACGAGTTCATCTGTTCATCCGCTTACAGCATGTGAACCCTTCTAGGCCGCTATATTGTAGGACTGGTGGTTACAATGAGGCAGGCCCAGCCCTGAGCCTCTGAGAAGCCAGAGGAGCCCCCAGCACAGGGGATTCCAATCCTGCAGCCTCAGTACCCTGCATCTGGGAGAACTCACTTTCCGGAGCAAAAGAGTCCCAGGACAGTATTTTGTTTGTTTGTTTTGTTTTGTTTTTTCTTCCAGTACCAGGAATCGAACTCACGACCTCGTGCTTGCCAGGCAGGTGCTGTGCCGCTGAGCTAAATCCCCAGCCCCTCAGGATGATATTTTGCTGAAGGAGCAGAAACACCCACTGTGCCAGACCCGGGGCCCTGGCAGAGGCTTCAGTGCCCAACTATTCTTAGAGGGTTCCCCACATCCCACTGCCCCAAGAAATCCTCTGGAAACCACGTTATCACTTTAATACTGTGTAATACTTTCTTTTAAAATACAGTCTCTTCTGAGGTAGACAGACCACAACTGCAGAGCATCGTCAGACAGGAGATAAATATGTCCATGTACAACACAGCAAAATGAGGTAGAAATGGTTACAGCTGGAGGAGAGGGTCCCAACCCCAGTGTGGGTGAGGAAGCAGATGGCCAGCTTGCCCTCCCCAGCACCATGCCCCTGGATTCTTTGGTATGCCCCCACAGCGTCGCCAGAGCTGGACCTGCCCTACCCTTCCCACCCTGTGCCCCTGAGGTAGGTGACAGTAGACTGGGGGCTATCTTCTTGTGCAAACCTTCCTAAGCCTGGGGAACAGGAAGCTCCTAGCAGAAGCAGTGGGGGGTCCTGAGAGTTCCTGCCCACCCCCAGGGCTGCCTGCCTCTGAATGGCAGGCTGGGATCCCAACCCCACTTCCCTGCCACCCTCCACCCCACCACACACACACACCTGAGAGACAACCCCTTCACTGCCTGCTCCCTCTGGGGGTTTTTGCAGCAAATTCTGTGGCCACTGCTTCTGAGGCACCAAGCCCTGCAATGGATCAGCCAAGGAGAGTCAGAAGGAGGCCAAGGGTGAGGAGGGGGAGACAGCAGCTTTCCTGTTTAGCACTCTCTGGCCAGCACAAGCCCTCTGCATCCTGGCCCCTGAAATGCCCCATGGGAACCCCTCCACACACACCCATTAGGAGAGCAAAGTTGTAAGACTTTAGGAGCTATAGGGGCAGGAAGGGAACCCCAAGGGAGGTTGGGAGGGGGAGAAAAAAGAGATGGGAGGGTATTTCCCCCCCTTTGGACCTAAACTGAGTTGTGAGGTTGGGGGGGGAGGGGCATCGAGGAAAACTGGCGGGAAGGAGAGGAGTATGTTTCCCAGACAGTAGGGCTTCAAGCTGGCTGGAACCCCCCCCCTCCACACACACTAACCCCACTCTCGTGTGAGGGAAGAACACCCTGCCCACCCCAGGACGGGAAGGGAGCAAGGAGGCACTCCCCACCCGGCCAGCCCCAGCGTGGGACACAGCACAGAGGGCAGCTGCAGGCTAGCAGTCGGTGCTGTGCTGACTCACGCTCACGGCAGACCGTCTTCCCTCCTAAGGCAATAAGCTCTTAGCCTAAGCAACCGGGGACCTCTGCCAAGGCAGGGGGCAGGTGGGATGACCTCCTTGGGAACCTTCTGCCTGTGTCACCTTCCCACTGGGCACTCTTGCTAGAACAGAAAATGAGCAAGGAAACCCCGACTCTGGATAACCTTTCACAGAAAAGCTGACACTGAAGGGTGGGGCGCAGAGGGCAGAGCAGCGGGAAGGAAGCATGATCGGCCCCCCTCGAGCCCCACACCCGCTCGAGGCATCCCTGCCACCTCCTGGGGCCCGGGGAGAAGGAAGCCCTTAGAAATACATTCTGCTTCTGTCCCAGGGCCACCCCAGGTCTGAGTGAGGATCTGGGTCTTCCTCTGCCCTTCCCACAAGTCTCTTTCTGAAGCTTCTGGGAGGAGTTGCTCCCCCAGGGTAGGGGGCAAGGGGTGGGGGACACACAGGAGAGCAGCCACAGTCCAACATTCTTTCTGAGGTCAGTTTCTTCCTGAGTTGTCAAAAGAAAAAAGAAAAACAGCAAATTCTACACGTCTTACAAAAATAAAAGGTCTAAAATATTAAGCTACGTTTCTGGGACTTCCCCTCAAAAACAACCCCCCAAAACTCTTCTTCGGGGGTTTTTTGGTTTGTTTGTTTTGGCTTGTTCCCCTTCCCCAGACCCAAATTTTCAGCTGGGTAAGGGTAAGGGAGTGGAAAGGGGTTCCCCACTCCCCTCCTCCTCAGCCCTGGGCCTCCGGATCTCCTGCAAAAGGACACTGCAGTGTGAATGGGGGACAGAAGGCAGGGAGCGGCGTGAAAGCACAGGGACCAAGAGGCACAGGACGCCCAAGCACGCGGGACAGACAGAAGCACAGAGTGATAGATGGAGAGGTGGCGACACGAGGGAGGGGCAGAAGAGGAACTGCGACAGCGTGGTGGGGGAGGTCGGTGACAAAGCGACAGGAAAGACTAAGCAAATGCAGAGAAGTGGGGGTGGGGAGGTGTGGGTGCCATTCAGAGAGTGAGAGACAAAAGCAGGGCAGGAGCTTCCTAGGCCCGGGTAGTAGCCCGTGCAGGGTCTGCCCCTTCCGCCGGGCGGGGATGGCGAGCTTCCCGTCTACAATAAATAGGAAAAACCTGAGTACACGGCGCACATGGCATCAGTCTGCCTGGCAGAAGCATTTTCCTTCCTATGAAAAACAAATCCGCCAGCAGGGCAGTCCCGCCCCCCACCCGACATGCGCCACTCGGGCACCCTCCCGGCCCGGTCTGGTCAAAGACATTCGCCCCAGCAGAGGCGGCCCCCGCGGCCTCCCGCGCGCGCCATCAGTGTCCGGAGCCGTACATCTTGTCCCACTCCACGAACGAGTCCAGCTCCTTGGGGGAGGCTCTCGGGCCCACCTTGGCTAGCGCCACCTCCAAGTCCTTGTACGAGAGGGGGCGCTGCAGCCCCGGGAGGCCCGCCCCGGCCGCCGCCTGCTGGCACAGCTGCCCCAGCTCGCCCCCGGAGAAGCCCTGGGTGCCCTGCACGAGGGCCGAGAGCTCCCGCTCGCTCAGCGCACAGCCCTGCTGGGCCAGCGCCCGCTGCAGGATCTGCCCGCGGGCTGCACTGTCCGGCAGAGCCACGTAGAAGCGGAGGGCAAAGCGCCGGCGAGTCACCTCGTCCAGGGCCGCGGGCCGCGAGGTGGTTCCCACCACCAGGACGCCGTCGGCGCGCGCGCCGCAGCCGCTGTCCAGACAGGCCAGGAGCTGGGACTGCAGTGCGCCCGGCGCGCCGGCGCCGTCGTCCCGGGAGGGGAGCAGCGCGTCCAGCTCGCAGATGAGGACCACGGC